TGGGGTTTTGGGAAGGATTCCTAGAGCCCATCCTGCTGTCTGGGATCCCTTTGGTGCTGGGTGGCCCTGTCACTACCTCTCTGAGCTGCCCCCACTCCAGCAAAGTTTATTTCTTTGGAAGTGGTAGATCATGTCCATGCATTTCTCACTGCTGGAATTCCTGCAGTCCCACGAAATCTCCTTTAAGAGAACAGATATAAGGGCATCTTGCTCTGGCTGTGGAGGCAATGCCTCTCTGGCTAACCCCCAAGGAGCTTGGCTGCTTGTCCAGCATCATCCCTGAGTCTCCCTGCCCACGGATCTTGCTCCAGGACTACTCCTCCTTTTGCTTCCCAAATTCTTGCTTGACACCCATGGCCTCTATTTTTGTGGTGTCAGAGGTCCAGGGAGCTCCAAGCCCCACAGAGACAACTCCAGGGAAATCTGCCCAGCTCCCATATCAAGATGCTCATGTCCATATCCCTAAGGAAGAGATTTCCCTGGAATGATAGCACTATTTGGAGCAGCTCCTGCCCCTCTCACCGTGCTTCTCTCTTCAAGGGTGACCTGTAGCACCTTGAAGTGAGGGCCAAAGTGAAAGATGGCCTTTATGTGCTATTCCCAAGGAGCTGGAATAATGGGGTGAGGCCTCAAATTTTAGGCCTCAGTTTTAACACATTTGTTCCCACAGGAGACTCCAGCAGCAACAGGAGGCTGAGAACAGGGACAGGGAGCAGCAGCAATGGGTGAGCTCTGGTGCTGGCCCCAGGCAAAGTTTACCCATGATGGAGGGGACAGGGACCTGGGACAGGGAAATGGCCTCAAGTTGCACAGGGGAGGTTTAACTTGGTTACTGGGAAAATTCCTTTATATGGAAAGGGTTATCCAGCTCTGGCACAGCTGCCCGGGGCAGTGCTGGCATCCCCATTCCTGGGGGGATTTAACAGCTGTGTGGATATGGTGCTTGGGGACATGGGTTAGTGGTGGCCTCGGCTGTGCTGGGGAACAATTGGACTTGATGCTCTCAGAGGGTTTTTCCAACCTAAATCGTTCCACGATTCCGTGACACCAAGTTCCTGTTCTTAGCCCGGAATTCCCGCGTCTCCCTCCCAGATCCAGGGTTTCCTCCTCATCCACCCTCCACTGCCACGGCAGTTCCTTGGGTCCAGAGGGGGCTGAAGGGAGCAGATGGTTCTGGATGGGGCTGGAGGGGGCAGGAGGGCTGGCTGGGGCTGGAGGAGTGGCTGGTTGCCCAGACCACTCCTGTGCCGCAGAAGGAGCAGGCCGAGGAGGCGCGGCAGTGGAAAGGCGTCAAGAGAAGCGAGTCGGTGGAGAAAGCCCAGGTGAGGAACTGGGACCCCGAGCCCCTGGGGAAAGGGGGCTGCCTCGGCTCTGCCCCCCTGAGCTGCTCAGGGCTTTGACTGGGCTGTGTGCCCTCCCGGGCAGGAGGCTGCCACGCTGATCGCGCAGAGAGCTGTGAACCCCCGTGACATCTTCAAGCAAAGGGAGAAAGCGGGGCCAGGCGATGCGGGGATGCCAACACAGCCAGGTATGGCCTGGGGACACAGGGAGGGTCCCAGTCCCCCACTGGGTCTCTCTGCACGTGGAGGGGTCCCAGTGGGACATGAGCTGACAGCAGGCTGCTCTCACCACACTGCTGTGCTGTGTCCCACACCTGGCTCCTGCCATTTTTCAGAGTGTGGCTCTAGCCAAGTTTTAATCACAAAGACAGATTTCCATACTCTGATTCCCCTTCTGAGCATTAAAGATTTTTTTGGGTTTTTTTGTTTTTTTTTTAATTATAGTTCAATATGTTAAGACTAGGAAAACACCACTATCGCAGCCTATCCTGACTGAATGAAATTTCACCTGGATTTTTGCACTGCCCCTGCCAAGCAGAATCTTGCGCTGTTAGAAGAGCCTGATCCAATCTCTCAGATAGAAATCAGGAAGTTTGCAAACCAGAGCTGAGAGTAGCTAAGGAAGTAGCTGTGACGAGCACGTGACACCTCAGGGTGACTGCCTCTGCCACCTCCTCCTCCCTGTCCTCCTCAGCCCAACCCCCTCCAAAGCACCTTAAATTGGTTCAGAATAACCACTTTCACTTGGTGACAGGAGCATGAATCCCTGCTTCCTTGGGCAGGCAAGCCATGGGTAGGAGAGGAGGGAATGCCACGCTGGGAAAATGTCTTTTTTGATGGTTGGACATCATGGGGAGAGACTGACTTCCTGAGGTATTTCATTAAGGTTTGATGGTTTTCATGGAGGAAAGGGAGATAAATGCCCTGGAATTGATCAGACACAGAGATAAGGGTAGGCAGGAGTCTTGGTGCTAGTAGGGCTTGTCTGGGAATTCTGCTCAGCTTTTGTTTGATTTGGAGGTGGAGATGAAGAGATACCAGTGCAGTTACCTCCTGCCACAGGAAACACACTGGCAGAAACCAGTTTGCATCATCCCCTCCCAGTTTGATATCTGTCGACTTCAGGGTGCTCTAAGAGTCCCCATGAAGAGCCAGAGGCAGGGCTGTCCAGCTCTTCCTCCTCCACAAAAACCCTTTTTTTTTTAAATTTTCCCTTGGCTGCTGCTGTAACCAGTTGCCAAACTTGTTTTCCACAACCAGGATTAGAGCTGGAAAATCCTGCTTGGGAGGTTGACCCAGCAGTACCTGTGGGTGCACAGTCAGGCTGGGAGCACCCCCTTGCCTGACAGGCTCCTGCAGCCCCTTCAACTCCTTTTCCAGGGAAGCTCCGCAGCCCATTCCTGCAGAAGGAGATGAACTCTGTGCCCGGTCCTGCCTCCCCCAGCCGGGATGTTTGGGGGTCCCTGCCAGCCTCCCCGGTACCTGTAGCTGGTACGTGCTTGGCTCCCTCCACTCCCCAAAGCTTTTCTCCTCGTCTTTCCAACTAGTTCTCACAAAACTTGGCATTTTGAGGCCGGGCTTGGAGATTCCATTTGGTTTTCCCCTGGGCTTTGTCTCCAGCCAGGGCTCAGTGTTGAGGATGAGGATGGTTCTTGCTTGTCTTTAGCCGAAGGCTCAGTGCCTGGGGGATGAGGATATCTCCTGCTGGAATTCAGGCTGGAATTCAGGCTGGAATTTGGCTCCATGCACCCCCAGCCTTCCTCCAGACCTGGCACAGGGGCTTGGGCTTTTCCAAAATGCCCCAAGGCCCAGCCGAGGTGGCTCCACCCCTGTGCAGGCGTTTCCCTGCTCCAGAGTTAGACTGGGTTGTTTCCTTGTTGAGGTGAAGTACACGGGCACAGGGTGACAGGAGGGACTGGCTTCCCACTGCCAGAGGCACCCTATGAAGGTGGGGAGGCCCTGGTAGAGGCTGCCCAGAGAAGCTGTGGCTTCTGAAGTGTCCAAGGCCAGGTTGGGCAGGGCTTGGAACAACCTGGGACAGTGGGAGGTGTCCCTGTCAAACCACTTCCCAGTGATCATGGGGAGGAAGCAATTCCAGAGAAAGGCTGGCTGTGCCCAGAGGTCTCCCCATGTGCTGTAGGTGGCACTGAGGGCTGGCCCTTCCCTGAAGCATGGAATGACAGATTGGTTTGGCTTGGACAGGATCTCAAACCACCTAGTTCTACCTCCCCTGCCCTGGGCAGGGATCCAGGGATGAGCTGGGGCTCCAATGTCCCATGGCCGCTGTCACCACTAGATGCTGCTGTTGGCCAGGACCTCTGCTCCAGCCCTTCCCCTCCATGGGAATTTTTTCATCTTGAGGGAGTTTATCCTTTCCCTGTCTTTATCCCTTCCCTATCAGAGCTACATCTCTCCTCTGTCCTTTCCATTGCTCCCTTAAACCCCTGCCCACTCCATCCCGTGCTTCCTGCCTGATCCATCCCCCAGCTGGGCAGGAGACCCGGGGGACACCCAGCTCATGAGCAGGAATGTGGTGTCACCCCAGCTTGGAGCAGGAGCCAGGGCATGGTTGTGGTGACAGATCCCTTGTTTCTCCTCAGGACGAGACTCTGGATACAACTCTGGTGTCCCAGGGTCCCACATGGAAGAGAATCTGTATGAGGAGCCTCCAGAGCCCTTGGCCCTCTATGAGGAGCCGCCCCAGGTGAGTTTGAGAGGCAGGGGACCCCATCGGGGCCGGATCTGTGTGGAAGAGCACGTCCCATCCCTAGGATGAGCCTGGAACACTTTTCTGAGCTAAAATCGTAGGAAATGTCAAAACCCCAGAGGTCAGGTGTACCCGGGATACACCCATGTGGCAGAGGGGTGCTACTGTGTCTCTTCCCAATGCTCCCAGTACCAGGAGACACTGGTACTGAGTCCCAGTCCCCAGCTCCAGCTGTTGTCAGTGCCACATCCCAGAACCAGTGTGGGGAAAGGACCCACCAGCCTCTTCCAAAGCCCCTTCTCTTTCTCCTGCTTCTCTGCGCATCTGGACCCGGCGGAGTTGCAATTCCAGCTATTCCTGGTGCAGTCCAAGATTCTCCAGTGGCTCATTGCAGGGCTGTGCTGTGCTGCCATGTTGCCCTCAGAGTTGTGGGGCCCGTTGGATTTCTTTTGTGCTCACCTAACCATCAGCATTCCAAACATTTTCTCATTCTGGAATTTGTCTGGAAGTGTCCAGCAGGTTCCAAAGGATTCCAGAGGAGTCAGCCTTTCCTGAGGAAAGCAAACCACTGCCAGCTCAGGCTCTGGCAGAAATGCTTCAGAAGCTTGAGCTTATCTGTTGGGGGATGAGCCTCTGTCTGCAGCAGGGATCCCAAGAGATCAAAGCTGCCACTGGTCTCCAGTGTTTCCAAGGGACAGGGATTGGTGTTGAGCCAGATGGAGATGTGGCCACCTTGGCTCTTTGGCCAAGAACTAGTTTGCTCCTGTGGCAGACACATGGCACAAATTCCCTGGAGTCCATGTTTTCTTCCAGAACTTCCAGCACGCAGGTCTCCAAGCCTTGGGGGCTGATGGACATTTCTGGGTATTGGACATTGTTGTTCTCTTTCCTCCCACTGTTCTCCTGGTAATTCCTGCTCTCCTCTCCTTCCTGAAGGAACAAGTTGACAATGCCAAATATGACTACAGGGTGGAGTACCAGGAGCCACCGGACCTGGCGGGGAAGGGGCTCTGTGCACGGGCACTCTATGACTACCAAGCTGGTGAGACCCCCAGAGCCATTGCCCTTGTCCTGTCCCTCCAGACCCTTGTCCCCAGTCTCCCTCCAGCTGTCTTGGAGCCCCTTTAGGCACTGGAAGGGGCTCTGAGGTCTCCCCAGAGCCTTCTCTGCTCCAGAGACATTCACAGACTGGACATTGACAGTTCTCCCAGCACGTCTCCAGAGCAGAGGGGCTCAGCCCTCCGAGCACCTCCATGGCCTTCTCTGGACTTGTTCCAGCAGCTCGACATCCCTCTTATCTTGGGACCCCCAGAGCTGGGGTAGTTCAGGTAGTCTGACCCCCCTCCCTCTGTTCCATTGCAGCTGATGACACCGAGATCTCCTTTGATCCTGAGAACATCATCACCAACATCGAGATGATCGATGAGGGCTGGTGGCGCGGCTACGGCCCCGACGGCCACTTCGGGATGTTCCCCGCCAACTACGTGGAACTGATAGAGTAGGGGAGCTGGTGGGGATCTGATGGGGGGGCTCCAGTCCCCCGAGACCACTCAGCTCCTGCCTGATTCTTCCAAACGACACGTGGCTTTTTCTTCTTCTCTATTTCTCTCTCTCTCTCAGTGAAATGCCATTCCCCAGTCCCTCGGCAGTGGGGACCCGCAGGCACTGCTCCCCTGTCCCCCATAGCTGCCCTTGAGTGGGTGAAGGAAGGGTCCCATCCCACCCTGAGCCCACAGTGCTGCTCTCCGCCCCCTCCCTTGGCTTTGGAGTGGGAAGGAGGGCGAGACAAATCCCTCACAGGAATTTTCAGGGAACAAATGATCTCCCCCCTGTGCTCCCTCCCACCCCGTGACCTTGGACCTGCTGCAGCCACACTGGAGAAGCCACTTTCCCAATTTTATTTCATCGGAAAAGCTCATCAGAATCATTTTGGAATCCTGCAGGGTCTGACATAACCAGGAGACGTGAATCCTGGCTCTGTTCCCCACCATCCTGAGCACACTGAGCTCGCCACTCTGTGATCCTGTGTTTTCCTCCCCGCTGTTCCCTTCTCTCACACCAAACATGCTCCGGGGATTTGAATTGGGAGTGAATAACCTCCCCTGCAGCGCAGATCCAGCCTGGCCAAGCGTGTGGGACCCCCCCTCCCCAGCCCCCCAAACTCACTGTGAACAAGGAAAAGCCCAGCCCAGCCCTTCCCCCATACAGAGTTTCCCGCCCTGGTGTCACTTCAGGAATAGAAGGAGAGAAAGGGTTGGGGCTTTGGGGGGTCCCAGCTCACCCACCCCTCCTTCAGGTGCTGGGGGACATGGTGGCTTCTCTGAATCCCTCCCCCCGGGCCCTCCCCAGCTACAATAAAAGGGCTTTTCTTTGGTGATGGATGTAGCAGGATCCTGGTGGGAATTGAAGAGGGATGCCAGGGGTTTGGTGTCCATAATGCCAGACGTGTTATCACACCAGGTTGTTGTGAGCAGGGGCCAAGGAGGGGGTAATTAGGGATCTAATTGGTCTCAACACTAATTTTCTGGGTCTAATGAGGGAGGAAGCAGCCTGCAGTGGTTGGGGTCGTGGGGTCTGGGTGGTCCCAAGGTGGAGAGGGGCTTTGTGGCTGTGGCTGGTGGCACCGGTGGTTTGAGAGCACTGGGGATATTGGGGGTGCAGGGACTGTGGAGAGAGCAGAGGGTGGACACGGAGCTACAGCAGAGATTTGGGAACATGAGGGATCTGGGGACATGGGGGACCCATGGTGGCAGCCAGATGGGTGCCACAGGCCATCTCCCACCCTTCCCTAACACAGGGGGTCAGGTGCTCACACAAGGACCTGGGGACATCATGTGGCCATGGGACAGAGAACTGGTGACACAGGTGGCCCTGCCGTGTGCCACGTGGGGTGGCATCACACCAGGGTGCTGGAGACACTTCATCCATCCCCTGCACTGGCATTGCCCTGTCCTGTCTGAGTCCCCTCACACCTCCCCATCCCCAGGGCTGGCACCACACCTATCAGGACATGGCACTGTCCCTTTATTCACCAGGACTGGGGTGCAGGGGTAGACGTGTGGGCACAGGCAGTGTGGGCACGGGGTGGGCACGGTGTGGCACAGCCACATGCAAGAAGGTGGCAAAGCTGCAGCAGCAGTGTGGGGGGGCAGTGGCTTGTGGGGATGGCATGGGCTTGGGATGGTGTAGGGATAGGGATGGAGACAAGCATGGGGTGGGCAAAGGAATTGGGATGATGGGATGGCACAGGCAGGGGGAAGCAGACCATGAAGAAGAGGTTGGACTCATTGCCCTGCACCTCGTGGTGGGTGACAGGGCACTCGCCCAGAGGTGGAGAGGAGGGTGCAGGTGCCCTGCTAGTGCTGCAAGAAGTATTGTATTGTAATATATGTATTGTACTCAGGGCTGTACTGGGGGAGCCATAACAGGCTGGGGAGGCCGTAGTGGGAGTGGAACTGGAAGTGGGGGGCCATTCCTGGGGGCTGCATGGGGTGGGTTAGGGGCTGCAGCAAAGGCTCGCTGGGCTGCACTGGGAGGTGCAGGTGGCGCCCCCAGCTCCCGGCAGGCCACAGCATTGCTGGACAGTGAGTCACGCTTGGGGGGGCTACGCGTGTGACGAGGGGGGGTCACGCATGTGACGATCGCTGGCGGCCTGAGCTGCCACGTGGCCCTGCCACCACTTCGGCCCGGGGAGCCTGCGGGGCCCGGGCGGGTGGGGGACACCCCGTGCACCCCCCAGCGCCCCAGGGAGCACCCTGGGCATGCACACCCCAGCCTGAACCTCAACCCTGCAAACAGGGGGGCTTTGGGGGGGGGGTGTCACGTATGTGTAATGTGTGTGCAGTGTGAGCACGTGCGCTGCATCCTCTGCGTGTGCTTCCTCCGTGTGCAGCCCAAGGCACTGCCACACGTCTGCAGCCTCTCGTGTGCCATGTGTGTCGTGTGTGTGCCAGGTCCATGTGCAGTGTGTGACCCGTGTGTGTGTGCTGTGTGTGTATCAGGTGTGTTGTGTGGTGTCAGGTGTGTTGTGTGTGTGTCAGGTCCGGGTGCAGTGTGTGGGTATCAGGTGTGTTCTGTTCC